TAATGGCGCCAAAATGACTCTGAGGCTATATCTCTTTAAAGCTTTGACATTATGACAACAAACTTTGTGTGTGCCATTGTCACCTCACACAGAACACACCAAAAGGATTATTACAGCGCCACCTGTTGGTCAAAAGTGATAAGCCATTTAATCATATTACTAGAGGTTGTATTTATTTTTTTTTGCCATTTCAATTACAATCATCCTAAAATTGCTTTTATTACTCATTGTTGCATTTGGTCTGATGCTCCATGCCATGCTTAACTCCTCAATTTGCATCTGGAGTGCTTGGCCCCGTAAATTGCTGCTTGCAGCTATATTTCTACTTGTTCTTATTCTGTCGTTTTAATTACAATTTTTAAAAAGCTTATAAAATATACTTTTTTTAAGAATTTGACAAAAGATGACATACTTTTAATAACCTAATTAGAAGGTGCTCCTAAAATTTTGAACGTGCTCCTACATTTTTTAAGTTAGGAGCACAAGTGCTCCTAAAAAGAAAAGTAAGCAGAGCCCTGCACAAGCAGTATGAGACAAAAGACTTGATATGGTGGTTGCCACCAGCCTTGATTTGAATCAAAATGATGGCGCCACATCTATTGACATTTATGCAAAAATACAGACACAGATCCACAAAGATCACAAATCAAGAACTGTACTACAAGAATGAGTTTGCAAACACAAACTTGCAACTGCAAAACTGAACAAATTAAGAACAAACTGCAATTGATTCACGGAGTTAATCAAGGGCTTCAGATCTCACTAAAAGGACACAAACATTCACACTATTCTTATAGTTCTGATAAGGTCATAATGGGCCCTAAATGAGGCCAGTGTGCTTCCTGAGAATCATAAGAAACCCTGGGAATCCGGCTCTATGAGAGCTGTCAGCACCACCACCTGTGAGAGCCTGAGAACATCTCAGTCAGAGAAGACAACCTGATTCCACCACACTCATAACAAGCAATAAATGTGACATCTTCATAAAGTTAAAAGTTAACTTGACAGAACAGTCTCATGAGTTCAGCCGCTGCCAGGATTGAGCCAATTACAACAATGTCCTCTATAAACACCTGCCACAGCACTTCTTAAATTGAATGTTACATAACTTTTAACAGTCAGCATGTTTTTCACTTTAATTGTAAAATTAACTACAACCAAAGAACTGAATAACTCTAGGGTTTGCCTACTCTGTAAATTAAAGATTTTAATAACACCATGTTGTCAGGACTGCTTAAATGAAAATTATAATTTACTCAAATTAACGCCTAATATTAGACACATTTCTGTGAAATATGTATTGATCATATATAAATTCTATATATTTTAATATCGAAATGCCTAAACACCTCTTTTCCACACAATGACTACAGCTGTCATGCTCCTAAAAGGCACTATAAAATACAAAAAAACAACAAAAAATAATTCACAAGCCCCATGCACAATATTTTCCAAGTTTTGAAGTCATTGGATATCTTTGCGTAAAGAATAAAGTGAAATTTAAGTTGTTAATCACTAAAAAAATATGCTTGACAGCAGTGATCCCCTTTCACTTTCATTGCATGGAAAAGAGCAGCTTGGACTTTCTGCAATTAATATCTCCTTTTGTTTGCCATGTGAAAATGGATTTCATAAACATGCTGTTGAACAAACAATGACAGAATTATCATTTTGTTAACTACTCCTTTAAGAAATAAACATTAGTCATACAGTAATGTGACCCCAATAAAACTTGCTGCTTTTTGTTTTGCAACCTCAAAAAGACAGAAACAGGGATTTTCTTTTACACCAAAAGCACGTTTGTTTGCAATCATGAGATTTCTCAATGAATCCATTCGACTCAACCTGCAAGCGTCCAGATTAGACAGCAGATGGGCTCATTTTTAAATGTGGTTAATTATTAGTTAGCAAGTTAAATCATTAAATGCACTGCACTGTACTGTACTCATGCTATCTCAAAACTCCCTGTACAAATGATCGGTTTCAACATCAAAGCAAAGGTCGCTGGAGGAAGCTGGTTAAATAACACGAGCAGCACTGAACGTGAATCTTTTGCAGGCCTCGAGCCCAGAACCTCTCGTTCCCAGGGCGACGAGTGACTGACGTAACTTTCAAACGCGGGTCCGAAAGCAACATAGTACAAAATCCCATGACACTCACAGTCCAAATGCTTCTTCTTTGGCCCCATGACTTCGTGCGTGGTCGCCTTGCACACCGTTTTGGACACAGCGGAACCGGTGACACTGTGTTGCGCTGCCGTTATCCGGTCCGTTATGCTCTGTCCAGACATCCTCGCAGTTTTAAACAAACAGAAAAAGGGGGACATCTCAGTCAGAGAAGACAACCTGATTCCACCACACTCATAACAAGCAATAAATGTGACATCTTCATAAAGTTAAAAGTTAACTTGACAGAACAGTCTCATGAGTTCAGCCGCTGCCAGGATTGAGCCAATTACAACAATGTCCTCTATAAACACCTGCCACAGCACTTCTTAAATTGAATGTTACATAACTTTTAACAGTCAGCATGTTTTTCACTTTAATTGTAAAATTAACTACAACCAAAGAACTGAATAACTCTAGGGTTTGCCTACTCTGTAAATTAAAGATTTTAATAACACCATGTTGTCAGGACTGCTTAAATGAAAATTATAATTTACTCAAATTAACGCCTAATATTAGACACATTTCTGTGAAATATGTATTGATCATATATAAATTCTATATATTTTAATATCGAAATGCCTAAACACCTCTTTTCCACACAATGACTACAGCTGTCATGCTCCTAAAAGGCACTATAAAATACAAAAAAACAACAAAAAATAATTCACAAGCCCCATGCACAATATTTTCCAAGTTTTGAAGTCATTGGATATCTTTGCGTAAAGAATAAAGTGAAATTTAAGTTGTTAATCACTAAAAAAATATGCTTGACAGCAGTGATCCCCTTTCACTTTCATTGCATGGAAAAGAGCAGCTTGGACTTTCTGCAATTAATATCTCCTTTTGTTTGCCATGTGAAAATGGATTTCATAAACATGCTGTTGAACAAACAATGACAGAATTATCATTTTGTTAACTACTCCTTTAAGAAATAAACATTAGTCATACAGTAATGTGACCCCAATAAAACTTGCTGCTTTTTGTTTTGCAACCTCAAAAAGACAGAAACAGGGATTTTCTTTTACACCAAAAGCACGTTTGTTTGCAATCATGAGATTTCTCAATGAATCCATTCGACTCAACCTGCAAGCATCCTGATCAGACAGCAGATGGGTTCATTTTAAAATGTGTTTATTAGTTAGCAAGTTAAATCATTAAATGCACTGCACTGTACTGTACTCATGCTATCTCAAAACTCCCTGTACAAATGATCGGTTTCAACATCAAAGCAAAGGTCGCTGGAGGAAGCTGGTTAAATAACACGAGCAGCACTGAACGTGAATCTTTTGCAGGCCTCGAGCCCAGAACCTCTCGTTCCCAGGGCGACGAGTGACTGACGTAACTTTCAAACGCGGGTCCGAAAGCAACATAGTACAAAATCCCATGACACTCACAGTCCAAATGCTTCTTCTTTGGCCCCATGACTTCGTGCGTGGTCGCCTTGCACACCGTTTTGGACACAGCGGAACCGGTGACACTGTGTTGCGCTGCCGTTATCCGGTCCGTTATGCTCTGTCCAGACATCCTCGCAGTTTTAAACAAACAGAAAAAGGGGGAAAACAAAAAAAGAGGGGGGGAAATCTGCTCGGGCTGTTAAATCCAACGGCAATGCTGTAGTCCCTGGGATGTGCACTGTTCAGCCACCTGACTGGGGAAGAAAGAGAGAAAAGAAATGGGACTGCACGTAAGACGAATCCGCCGCTTCAGAGTCCAAATGAAGTTTGCTCTCTATGTGTGCCGTCAGCTGATCGCGACATTTACATACCAAACGTTTCCTTTTCTATTAACGGCAGCGTCCTCTCTCTCTCTCAACCCCTCTGTCACGCACTCTCCTCTCCCTCTCTCTCTCTCTCTCTTAACTCCCCCTTTTCCTCCACAGTGGCTCTCCTCTCGGATCTCGCCTCCCCCTGCTGGGTTTAAAAGGCTCGTAGGATAATGGCGGGTCAGTTTCCTCTTTTCAGAGGATCCTCCCAAGGTTTATATGGATGCTGAATGGTCGGTGTGAAACGACGCCATGTTGGCTCCAAATATCGGACTGGTGCCTCGCATTACGTAGAATGTGAGTACTGCTGTTTGGCTTGTGAGCCAAAATGGCAGCTCTAGATGGATAGTTTCTGTGTATTATCTACTAGTTCCGTGACGGTGCACATGACGGAATTTGTCCAACCAAATTCATGGTTTCACATGTGGTACTTTTTACAACATTTAGATATGTGTCACTGATTAAATTTGCATTTATGTCATCGTTTACAAAATAATTAATTATATAATTGTTATGTACAATTATGTGTGTGTGTTTTATGTTCAAATGTAATATAATAAGTAGAAAGTGTGTGAATGTTCCGTAAGGCAGACATTTCACAATAACACTAGTTCAAAATATAATTTTTAATTGGAAGGGGGACGGGGGAAAAAATGAAGTTTTCCAGTTTTTGTTTATCTTTATTACTTAAAAAACATTATTTCATAATTTAAATTATAACTATTATTATAGTGATAATTATCATTCGTTTATAAATGAAAGGCTTATTATTAGCTTCCAGTTGATCAACTGATTAACTTGTAGGAAAGAAAATCAAAATGAAACATTTTACTTAGTGCAAGAATTATTTAATCTTTCATTACAACATGCCTGGAAAGGGAGCCATCTAGTGATAAAAAAAAATGCAATTACAGAAAGCATCAAAAAGCCCCGTTGTCTCGCGTTTTGAGGCAATCCATAAATCCTGAGCTGCGTCTTTAAAGCTTAAATAATTGGTGTAAATTGCAGTAGCTGATTACACTCGTGTTGACTGTATGCTACACTTGATTTGTACATGCCAGCAGGAACTAGGATTCTGCAATTTCCTGCATCTGCCTAATTCAGCTCGATGCATTCCAATATTGATTGTGTAAGAATACAAATATTTACAAGCATCTTGTGAATATTTTCCTGTAGCCATAGATAGATAGATAGCTATACTCAGCTCACTGGTGCAATTAGATCTAACTCACGCTGAAAAGCAGAGAGGGAGAGGGTATCAGAGATTGAATGTCCAGGAGATCAGCCACTAATGCACAATGCCAGAGCACTGATCAGTTTCAGGACGAGGCTCATTTGTGTGAAATGGGCCGAGCAGATTGATTTAGGCCTGTATCATCAGTCGGCATCGCACAGGTGGCATCAGTGCTGTTGTGTTGCAGTCTCACCGGTAGGGGGCGATATACACATGCAGGTCTCTGTGTCCTTGTTCACAAACTTTCAAGAGCATCTTGACAACATCCATTTGAGAGACCGCAGGTGCATGTCAGCTTTTTCTATTTACAACAAATATTCTACCAGAATACTGAACAATATTTCAACAGGTTGCGTTTATATTTTACATAACAAGTGTAATCTATAACATTCAGGATCCTTTGACACGTAATCTTCACATACACAAAAACTTTTATTAAAAAATACTTAATACAAATAGTCATTATTATTATTATTATTAGAGATTTTATTATTTTCTGCATTACAGTAATGACATGATTTATTTCATAATTATTATTATGTTTATATATATAAAGTATAGAAATTACAAGTTTGTTTTTTTACATAACTATTATCTTTTCACGATTTATTATCATGATTTCATAATTTTTTTATTTATAAATGAAATATACTAAATAATCATCATCATCATAAAAATGATGATGACTATTGTTATTATTATTATAAAAATGTATTTTTTTATATAATTTCCTGCATTACAATCCAGACACGCTGGTGTTTTGAATGCTGAGGATCTCTGTCGAGGTTTGTGTCTGTGAGGTGAAAGCTGGTTATAGATATGGCTCATAATGAAAAGGTGTGTCCCTCAGGTCTGAATACAACATGGCTTGTGTTTCACACATAAAAAACAAGGCATCCTGTGATTTCTGCCACCTGGGACCAGAAACACAGCTTTTCTGTCTGTTTAATCCCGCACAGCTCTCTCACATGCACAATAGTTTCCTCAAACGCTGTCCAGCAGTGTTTCAACCCTATAAACTCTTTCCTGGATCAGAGTCCTTTTTTACACAATAGTGCCACATTATAAACCCAAGGTTTTTTTATATATATATATATATATATTACATCTTGACAACATCCATTTGAGAGACCGCAGGTGCATGTCAGCTTTTTCTATTTACAACAAATATTCTACCAGAATACTGAACAATATTTCAACAGGTTGCGTTTATATTTTACATAACAAGTGTAATCTATAACATTCAGGATCCTTTGACACGTAATCTTCACATACACAAAAACTTTTATTAAAAAATACTTAATACAAATAGTCATTATTATTATTATTATTAGAGATTTTATTATTTTCTGCATTACAGTAATGACATGATTTATTTCATAATTATTATTATGTTTATATATATAAAGTATAGAAATTACAAGTTTGTTTTTTTACATAACTATTATCTTTTCACGATTTATTATCATGATTTCATAATTTTTTTATTTATAAATGAAATATACTAAATAATCATCATCATCATAAAAATGATGATGACTATTGTTATTATTATTATAAAAATGTATTTTTTTATATAATTTCCTGCATTACAATCCAGACACGCTGGTGTTTTGAATGCTGAGGATCTCTGTCGAGGTTTGTGTCTGTGAGGTGAAAGCTGGTTATAGATATGGCTCATAATGAAAAGGTGTGTCCCTCAGGTCTGAATACCACATGGCTTGTGTTTCACACATAAACAATAAGGCATCCTGTGATTTCTGCCACCTGGGACCAGAAACACAGCTTTTCTGTCTGCTTAGTCCAGCAGAGCTCTCTCACATGCACAATAGTTTCCTCAAACGCTGTCCAGCAGTGTTTCAACCCTATAAACTCTTTCCTGGATCAGAGTCCTTTTTTACACAATAGTGCCACATTATAAACCCAAGGTTTTTTTATATATATATATATATATATATTAAAAGAAATACATTTCTTTTGATACCATAGAAAACACTTATTATAAAAATAAACACATCAAAATGACAAATTAATCAATCACTGGTATAATAAACTAAACTAATTCACACTAACAGATTAAAATGGTTATTAATATTGCTTATTCATTCTGACTTTTAAAAAATGTATTCAAGCATTTTTAAGTTTCAAGAATCCTCTACCAATTATTAAACTCAATTTCACATATGTTATTCAAATATCTTATATTTATTTTTTATTGAAAATGTCTAACGTGAGTATTTCAAGTAATAGATTTATTTAAAAACAACTAAAAAGGGTCACAAAATGGGTCATTAAAAGGGTGTGAGGAGAAAAGTGATATAGATGTCAGATGCTCGACATGGATACGTTTTTTTCTGTATAGCATGTGCTATATGACCCCATTCACCAGCAGATATAACTGTTTTTGTGTTGGACGAGGGCTAGATGACAAGTGATGGTCCCTTTGCTGACAGGAAAACAGGAGGTTACTAAGTTGGCTGCTGTGACAGACAATACAATCTACCGAGAAGATTCCAAGATACCGAGTCACTGACAGACTTTACTCTATCCCTCTCTTTTTTCCACACTCCATCTCTCACAGCCACATAGCTGACTTGTTTCCATATTAGAAGTATTATAAAATATGGTGAAACTATTTCAGCTGTGTTATCTGTACTTATGTTGGTATTGCGGATCCATCTGTATGAAATAGATTTTTTTTAAATCTGCTCATAATGTTTTGTAGAACTTGACTTTGAGACAGTCCCAACAAAGTCTTTCTAATCTCCACTGAATTGCAACATTAATATCCAATTAGTGGCCTAAATCATTCCAGTTAGATTTCAAATCAAATCTACTTCATAAGTAGTTAAAATCGACTGTGCCTTCAGTTAAAAACCCTTATGAATAAACATGGCACAATTAAACAACAAAGAAAGCCGATTCTTTGAGAGAGACAGAGGCAATTAGCAAAACTTGTGGCTTTTACATGCCTTATGGCGCTTCAAAAAGGCCACCGAAAGTGTGTTCCCTAGTTTGAAATTCCACTTTGCTTTTCTCTCAGCAGGCTAGACGTATCCCGTCCCCCGGATAGCTATGACAACCCAACAGAGACAGATTGCTCATCGTTCCTAATTCCTTACAGGACGCAGTGATTGATGCACTGGGCCTGACACCTGCTTGCCCGCCAGCTGATGGCATTTCACACGGCTAGAAGAAAAACAGTAATTACTTTGTACCCTGTTAAAAAAAGAGACACGTTTTACCTGAAACTATAGACTGATTTGTGATACAAGATATGCAGATATTATTTTGCTAAGAGAGGATGGTCAGATATTATTGTTGGTTAGACTAAAGACCTTAAGAAAGGTTAGATATGCCATTGTCATCACTATTATTGTCGGTTTTATATTGCATTACTGAGCTTCTCACCATAACCTCCTTATGACCCACATTATTCATTGCGATGTGAATAAAGTCATCAGATAAATAAAGAGACAAGAAAATGAAGCATGACCAAATGCCAGGCAAATAAAAACAGATACAGCCTTTGTGATGCGATAAGCTCTTAATGTGTTCATAAATACAATTCCTTCTGGTGGCTTTGATTTTAGAAGTTCAGATGTGAACGGAGACAGTTTCATCATTCTATTTGGTGTTTAAATCGAGCACAAAACACATTTGTAACTATAAAACCTTCCCGTGATTGTTCTAAACCCATTATATGAGTGAATAGCTAACTCTATTCACATTTATAAGCATTTATACAAAGTTTTAAAATACCTAAATTGTCCAAGCACAGTTTTCTAAATATACAATAAAAATACAATAAAACAAAATAAAGGCTTTTATTAACTTCCAAAATGCTGCCTAAACCCATAATTTGGATAAGTTTTGAATAGCTAACTAAAAAACATTTAAACTAAGTTTTAAAAGGCTTCAACTGTCCCAGGACACAGGCTTCCAAAAATAAAATAAAATAAAATAAATTTAAAACTTTTTTTTTTTAGCATGGCTCAAAACGTTTAAAAAAGTTAGTTTAAAAAAATGTATTGAATCCACAAATGTCAAAAGAATGGCAAATTATTTTCCATTTTCTCAAATGCTATTCTAGAGTGTACATGCAATAACACATGAGGAAATCCTTACAGTAATAGTTCTGCTTGCCCTGATATCTTGCCAAGGTGAATAAGATTGTGTCACACTGATAAACGGCACTATAGCCTGCCATATAGAGACATTCAAGTGTGAAAAATTAAAGAATGACATTTGCTGGAAACGCATAAATAGAGATACTTATCGCAAGTACTGAATTGCCCCACTAGAAAGAATGACATTTGCTGGAAACGCATAAATAGAGATACTTATCACAAGTACTGAATTGCCCCACTATAGACCAACAGCTCCATTTTACCCACAATCCCTTCCATCTGAAGAAAGTCCAAGACGCAAGACAAACTTCGTCAGACCAGCTGAGTTCTGGCTGAAGGGGCTCAGAGCTTCATGCGATGCGTGTCTCTGCAAAACCCAGCTGGATTTCGGATTTCAGCAGTTTGGGGTAGCACTGCATAGTTTTGAAAATCCTCATCCTTTGGATTTCTTGTATTTTGCACAGATTGACAAGTGACTTGTGGGTGATGTATTGCCGTTGGAGCTGGCCTGCAGCCCGGACGCTTTGAGCTTTGATTAATCAGGTAAGAACAGACAATGAAATCATTCAAATTTCCCCTTTCACCGCAAGGATGGACCGTCGAGACATTTCTAAGGCAATTAATCATGCCGATTAAAGGCATTTGAAAAATAATGATGTAAAAATTGCAGCTAATTTGATGAAATATTAGTCTGCTATGAATTTGGAGAGATTGAAACAAGCATTCATCACTAGAAGTATGTAGATAATGGAGATAATATGAGATTAGAAATGGCGTTTATTCACAGCAGACTTATATAGATTCTCATATACATTAGGTGATAATCACGAGGACAAGAGTGGCAGTCGGAAAGGGGGGTCACGGCCAGACAGGTGGGATACCATCATGGGAGTGCTGACTGAGCCTGGCCAAACAAAGCATCTAAAGCGTCTAGACAATCCTGGTCCCGACCCAGACCGTCCTGGCACACAGAAAGGCCAGCTCAGTCAGCGACGAGCCCTGTCCAGGAGCCGATGAAAAGATAATTCCCTCCTCGCAGACCACATGCGGCGTGGGGCCGCTTGTGAGCGCTGACAGAGCAAGATCAAGCAGAAAGGATATGAGTGGGAAACTTCAAAACCTGCTCATGTTTCTGGGCCCGTGAAAGGATTTGTATAACACATTCACTTTTGATGGACTTTCCCATGTTCCCCCAGACAGCTCTTTTGCTGTTGACGTGTTCAAATAATGAATCTCTTATGTTTATTTTTTTTCCTCAGAGCAAGGCCGTGTTTCTAGTGGTTTTGCCGGGATGCTGGGTAATCCAGTCAGTCTCGCGTCGCAGCTGAGAACAGATGGAGTACCGCTGATTCTACAGCTGCCAGGGAAACGGGTGAGTCTTCCGAAACGGAGCGAGGGATGCTAGAGCAGACAGAGGGCAAAAGAGGACGAGGTCAGGGTGAAACACGCAGAACTCTGTGTATAAGCATCATACTTACAAATACCTACAGGAAGCGAATGGTTTGAATTGATTTGTAGCTTTTTGAATATATAAATTGAGGTTGATTTGTTCGCAGATTTTGCGTAATGGCACTTCAGATCAATTCATGCTCATTATTGGTTTCAAATTTAACAGAAGCGCCAACAAAAGTATCGCGTTTCTCATTTTCGGTCTTTTTCTTCCAATTTAATAGCATAATTACAGAACAATACAGTGGAATTATCTTTTGAAGCGAGTCTAATCATGCATTTCTTCTCTCATTTCAGAACAAGAAGCATTTTCTGATGAATCCAAAGAAATTGCTCATACATTGTCTTCCTCAGGCGTTGAAATGGAACGTTTGTGTGTGATTCTTTTGCTTGTAAGTAAAACTTTCATAGTGAATGCGCAATTCAATGGGTTCAACTGTGATGCCAACTTCCACAGCCGCTTCCCCGGTGAGTGAACGCTTGCTTTTTTGTGCAAGCATTTGATCAATGACATGTAATTAATGATATTTTAATCTCTCTCAACAGCTGAGCGGGACATCAGTGTGTATTGTGGAGTGCAAACCATAACGCTGAAGATTAATTTTTGCCCGGTGCTTTTCTCTGGCTACACCGACACTGACCTGGCACTGAACGGGCGTCACGGCGATGCCCACTGCCGAGGGTTCATCAACAACAACACGTTCCCAACAGCCGTGCTGTTTAGCATCAGTCTCAGCACGCTGGAGGCCTGTGGAAACTCACTTGTGGTAAGACACCGGTTTTCACCATTTTTAAAGGCCTACATGGAGGGCACTGACCCATGACAGAATGATTTATTCACATTAGCCCTTCAATGGCCCAGAACTTTAATTTCAGGTTCAGTCATTAGTAAGAAAAACACATTTGTTGCAGTAAATGCTAAACTACAGCTTGTGTTTGGAGAGACAGTATCCTCTCTATGACAATTTGTCTGTAATAAATGAAGAACATCTGCGGTAAGGTGAATTTAGCTTTGGTTGGGTGACAGCAGAGATCCGGCAGTGATGAAAGAGCTGAGGATTAGGGAGGTGAAGGTACATTAGTTTTAAGAAGAGCAATCATACCTTAGTGCCTTTGTGTCTGTAGGTCTCCACGGCTCAGGGGCCCAACGCCTATGGGAATCTCTCCTTGGTCCAGATTGGGAATATAGCAGGATACATTGACACTCCAGATCCCCCGACGGTCATTAGCTACCTACCGGGACTGCTTTACAAGTTCAGTTGTAGTTACCCTCTGGAATACCTGGTCAACAACACACAGCTTGCTTCGTAAGTCGACTTCATCACTGTTATATAGCAAACTAATGCATTAATGTGTCTTTTTTTAATTCATGCTGAATTATTCACAATATTTTGATGGAAGATAAAACAGTCCCAAATTGTATGTTGTAAAATGTTTAGCACTTATTGTTAAGCTTTAACCAGCTAAATTGTGAGGCATAATTAAATTAGTATGCACAACGAATATGTTGTAAAACCTAATGCACGGTTGATTACAAGGACATCAGACAGTAAATCAGGAAAAACTATTACACAAGTTTTCCTTTCAGACTTTAATTGGCCTGCAAAATATATTTATCATGTTTTAATAGCGTCTTTTGTTCGAAGGTCGGCTGCAGCGATATCAGTGAAGGACAGCAATGGCACTTTTGTGAGCACACTGAATTTACTTCTATACAACGTGAGTACATGTGGAATATCAGCATAGTTTCTAATTATGTATTTGTTTAGGTCTATATAAATAGATAACTTTGATGATTTGTGTTTTTTTTTTATATATATATATATATATATA